ATAGCATGCTTGTATCTGCAGACAGAGCAACAGCACTGGAATGTTCTCAGTTGCCTATGATGCCTAAAACTGGGGAGGGAAAAAAAATGCTGAGAGGACTGGAAAGATCCTTCTAGTCACAGCCCTCGAGGGAAAAGAAATATTTAAATATTTTATGAACTTTCTCTTCTCTCTCATCATTTAAACAACAATAAATGTAAGATATCAATTTACATTATAGTCCTTTTATTACATTATAATCAAGTGCCAAGTGGTTAAAATTTACGAAGAGATTTTATTATAAAGGCAACAATGAGGATTCATGAATGTGGGTGGAACTCCTTGGGAGTGAGGGGGGCCTCAGCAAAGATATCCCAGAGCAAAGGGGGGTGTTATGGAGGTTACGAAGGTTAAAGAGATGAAGTGAACAGAAGGAAACAGCATGGCCCTAGAGTAAGTGCTAAGACTGTGGAGCAGGGGTTCAAGTCCTGACTCCATCACACGTGAGGTATGTGATCCTAGAATACTCACCCAACAACTCTAAGCCTTGATTTCCTGATCTCTAAAATGGGTGTGATCCCCACCGTATGCATTTCCTAGGGTCAAATTTTTATGACATCCTAGAAAAGCACCTACCATGCTGATTGTTTTGTTACTATGGCTGTTAATACTATTATCAATACTATTACTTATACTAGTGTTTCAAATTCTTAGAATCCCCAAAGATATAAGGCTGATTGCTTTTAGTAAAATGGAATCTTTGATGGTTTCTCCAGGCTAATCCATAATCGAACAGTCCATTTATAGTTGTGGTTTGTCGAAAACCATGCTGTAACCCCCAACTAGTTCTTGGAAACCTGTGAGTGAATTACAGTTAATGTCTCATAGACTTGAACCCTCGGCCCTGAAGAGGACCAGGGACCGAACCAGCTCCACTTGTTTATTCTTTCCATGTCAGGGCTTGAATTGCCCAAACTTCAGGCATCTCTGTTTCCTTATCTGTAAAATGAGGATAAATTCAGGTGTCCCATAGTGGTAGCGATGATAAAATGTGGTGATATGTGAAAGGACACTGAAATCAAATTTTAAAATGCAAGGCAGCATTGCTTTGTGATATTTTGATGAATAAATACAATATAAAGCCAGCAAAGAGCACGAGCTCTCGAATCAGAGTACCTGGGCTTGAATCCTGTCTTCACCACCTATGTGTCCTTGCATAAATGACTTAACCTCTCCCAGACTCAGTTACCTCATCTGTAAAATGGGATTAGTCCTAGCATCTGCCTCACATGACTAACTGAAGCTTAAATGAGGTGGTGCTGGTGAAGTTACGGCACAAGCCTGGTGTAGCCTATGCACTCAATAATCATGAGCTGTTATTGGGGCTTGTTTAAAACCTCAGCAACCACACAGGTACACTTTCAGAAAATCCAGAAGAGGTCCAGAGGGTGTTCTTAGACTTGGACTAGGAAGGATGATGTGTGTATTGAGTAGAAGAAGCAGACTTTATAAAAGTGACATATGTAGCTAGTGGCCATAATTTCCTCCATAGAACTAAGAAGCAAATAACATTGGTTTCCAATTTTTAAAGTCGCACCCACCAGCATTCGCCAGCAGCTCCTCAAATGGAATGGTTTAATGAGACTACTAATTTTCCCAGAGGTGAGTCTGAGAACCAGGTATTGTATTTTTAACTTGCAAAAGACAAATCCAGGAGTATAGTGGACTTCAGGCACAGTGTGATTCAGGCTCCAATAATATCAGCAAGATCCGTCTCTTGGTTCTGTTCCCCCTGGGTTGGCTCCATCCTCAGGCATCTCTGGCCATTTCGGGCTCCTATATTCCCAGTGCCAGTTCAGGGGAGGAGGGGCTTCTTCTCTGATAGCACAAACAAAGGTCCCAGTGTTGAGTCAGGATGGTTCTGAGTGGGTCCACTTGGGCCATGTGCCCATCCCTAAACCAGACACCGTGGTGAGATGGATGAACAGAGCTGACTGACTTAGCTTCAGTCACAGGCTCCTCCCCAGGAATCTGAAGCCCACGAACCAAAAGTGAAGTAGGGTGGGCTCTCCTAGAACAAAATCAGGGTGCTTTTGAAGAAGGCGTAGGAAATAACACAAAAAAATCACAAACGATACCACCAAGCTTAGCCCAGATTCTTCCCATTAGCCACCGTAGGCAGGTGACTGAGGCCACAGAAGCAGCGCCCTCCTGCCTCAAAACAGACTCTGTGCACAGATCCAGGCTCCAGAGATAAGTGCCCCCCCCCAAAAAAAGATGGACAAAGCAGAACCCCACACACACCAGTGGGAGGCCTTCAGCAGGTCACAGCAGCCAGCTAGAAGGACAGGGACCGAGGAGGGCCCCACGACAACACAGTCACTAGATAGGGGCGGATGTGTTTCCTGGCCTCTCTGGAAGCTGGCATCGAGCAGGATAAACAGAGTCTGTTTTTCCTTATTGCTCTGTCACTGTAATCCAGAAACAAACACACCCTCAGATGCCCTGTCAGTATCTTCCCAAAGCCACTATCAATTACTTTATCTCCTCTTTGGGATTTCCTGCTGCTTTTGCCGGAGTGTGTGTGTGTGTACACATTTTCTCTTGAGAGATCACAACTTTCAGAAGCATTTTCGAAAGTGTGAAATGTGTGAGTTACTGGGGTACACAAGGTCATTTTGGGTGGCATACACATGAAATATTTTTTTAAATATTTTGTGCCTATTTTTAAATAAACTGGGGGAAATATATAATATATTGGTGTTACAATAATAGCATTTATTGAGTGCTTGCTATGTCCCGGGCATCGTCCACTTTCCCTACACTAACTTATTTAACCCCACAACAGCTCTAGGCAGAAGATACTTTTATTAGCCTCATTTTACAGATAAAGAGCAGAGGCTCACCTCCTGGCATTCACACCTTTGTGTAATCCCTTCCCCTTGAGTGTGGGTTGGATCTCTCACAAATAGAATGTGCAAAAGTGATGGATCATCATTCGAGTTTAAGTTATAAAAGACTGGCTTCCATCATGTAAACACCTTGACTCTTCTCGCTTGCCCTGATGAAGCAAGCTGCCAGGTTGTAAGTGGCTCAGTGGAGAAATCCACACGGCAAGGAGCTGAGGGCACCTCCAGCTAACAGCCTGTGAGGGACCAAGTCCTGTTGACAACACACCAGCAAGTCTGGAAGTGCGTCCTTCCCCAGTGGAGCCCTCAGATGACCACAGCCCTCGCCAAGACCTCCGATGCAACCTAGGAGAGACCTTCAGCCAAGGAGCCCAGTTTGGCCATGCCAACATTCCTCACCCACGGAAACCATGAGATAGTAAATTTTTACGGTTTTAGACCACTAAGGGGGAGCTCGTGCTTAGCGTGCACCAGGTTCTGGGTTCTATCCCTAGTACCTCCATTTTAAAAAACCCACTAAGATTGGGGGTAATTTGTTGTGGAGCAGTCAATAACAAATAACAGGGCACTTCATATTAATAGTTTACAAAGCACTTGAATAAGCACTCTCACCCCCACCTACCGTCATCCTTGCACCGTTCACATTTCTCAGATAAAGGGATGAGGCTCAGAGAAGTTCAGTGATGTTCCAGAGAGGTGGGGTCAGTAAGTGCTGGGCTAGACAACAAGTTCAGGTCTGTCTGAACCCACCAAAAGCAGGCGCTCTTTCCATGAAACAGTGTCACTGTAAAGCTGGCTGAGCAGCTTGGGCTTAGGGCAGGCAAAGTGGAGACACCACACAGTTTGGGTGCGGAAATCTTGGTATTTCAGGAAGGCACTGAGAACCAAGACAATTCAATGGAAGAAAGGATCATCTTCTCAGCAAATGGTACTTAAACCACTGGACATCCTCAGGCAAAAGAAACCCCTTCCTGACACCGTATACAAAAGTTAACTCAAAATGGATCACAGAGCTGAATGTTAGCACTAAAACCATACAACTCTTAGAAGAAATCATAGGAGTAAATCTCTATGACCTTGGATTAGGCAATGGTTTCTTAGATATGACACAAAAAATACAAGCAACCATGACAACAAAACAGATAAATTGGACATATCAAAATTAAAAGCTTTTGGGGGCTGCAAATAATACCATCAAGAAAGTGAAAGGACAATCAAAAGAATGGGAGAATATGTGCAAATCATACATCTGATAAGGGGCCGGTATTCAGCATATATAAAGAACTCTTGCAACTCAATAATAAAAACACGAGCAATTCAATTTTTTTAATGAGCAAAGGATTTCAATAGAAATTTCTCCAAAGAAGATATGCAAATGGCCAATAAACACATGAAAAACTGTCGAGCATCATAAGCCCTTAGGGAAATGCAAATGAAAATCTCCATGAGATACCACTCCATCCCCACTAGGAAGGCTATCAGAAAAAAAGACAGATCATAACCAGGATTTGGAGAAATCAGACCCTGCATACGCTGCTAGCTGAAATGCAAAATGGTGAAACCACTCTGGAAGAACAATTTGACAGTTCCTCAGATGAGAAACACGGAGCTACCATATGGCCCAGAAATTCTTCTCCTAGGAATATACCCCAAAGAAATGAAAACATGTCCGCAAAAGAAAAACTTACACGTGAATATTCATAGCAGCATTATTCATAATAGCCAAAAAGTAGAAACTACACAAATAGTTATCAACCGATAAGTGGATAAATAGAATATGGACTATAAATATTCCTCAATAAAAAGGAATGCCTTACTGACACATGCTATGATGTGGATGAAAAGTGCAAAGCCAGTCACAAAAACCACATATTATATGATTCCATTTATAAAAAGTATCCAGAATAGGAAAATCTATAGAGTCAGTGGTTGCCAGGATCTGGAGGGAGGATGGGAATAAGAAATGATTCTTAATAGGGGCGATGTTGGTTGCACAGCCCAGTGAATATATTAAAATCCTTGATTTTTATGCTTTAAAGGGGTGAATTTTATGGGCTACAAACTATATCTCAATAAAGCTATGTTTTTAATTCATTGAGAGAACTGTACACTTAAAGGTGGTTAATCATGAGTGGCTCATGGAGGGCAGCTTGATGGCTCTACATGCAGAATCCACATCGAGAGATTTCGGAAGCGTAATTTTTTGGTATTTGGGCAGCTGGTGATGGTCAGTCCTGGTGCCCCTACTTATAAGTCTGAAACAAAAGGACTTTAGAAAAACAGTTAAGATGGTCGTTTTGTGTTACGTGTATCTTACCACAATAAAAAAAGAAAGAAAGAAAGAAAGAAAAAATGCATTGAGAAATGTATGTAGAAACTTACCCCCTCCAAGAAGTGGAGCTTAATTCCCCTCCTGTTGGGTATGAGCTAGACTTAGTGACTCATTTCCAAATAATAGAATATAAAAAAAGAGAAATGCTTAACTTTACTGTGGGGAAACCTGGCAGATAAGTGGTTGAAAGTTAATGTCCCATGTGAAAAATAATGTTGACATCATATACCCCGGATATCGTGTTATGAGAAGGGTATTTCACCTCTGTGACATTATTACCCAGAATCATGAGAAAACAGCAGAAAAATCAAAAGTTAGGGACATTCTACAAATTACCTGACCTGTAGTCCTCAAAACCATCAAGTCAAGCAAAACAAGAAAAGTCTGAGAAACTGTCACAGATTGGAGAAGACTTGACAACTAAATGTAATGCAGTCTCCTAGATTCCATGTTAGTGGGGAAATGGTGACATTCTAATAAAGTCTGGAGTTTAGTTCATAGTAATGTATCATGTTGGTTTCTGAGTCATGACACATATACCATAATTCTGTAAGATGCTAACACTAGGGGACGTTGGATGAAGGGTCTGGAGGAACTGTCCTTCCTTTGCAACTTTTCGATAAATCTAAAATGATTCCAAAATAAAAAGGGTTTTAAATGAGGAAAATCCATAGATTTATTAAACTTTTCTCCACTTAGTTCATAGTTTTATGTGTGTATATATAATATGTTACATTGTTATATGTGTATATATAACATATGACTATATAATCATTTTACTTTTCATAACATGTAGGGGTAATCAGTCCTCTTTTGGGAACTCGGGGGCAAGGGGTTGAGTTCATTTTGTCCTCAGTTACCACGCACTGCCATCATCCCTCTGGACAAGAGCCACTTCCCTGTATTTCTCTGGTTATCTGATAATTCCCATGAATACCCACTGTGCTCTTCTCCCACAGGGAGTCCTTCTAAAGTCTATCTTCATGACTGCATGTCCCCTTACAAAATATGTATTCTTCATGTGGGTGTATATTTAACTTACATAAATGGCATCGCACTGCATATTCTCATTATATTTCTTACTTTCTCACGATAACGCCATCCACTGAAACCCGATTCCCACTGCTGTGTGTTACTAAGTCTGTTGCTTCTATTTCTCCATTCTCTATGGTGAGCATTCTCAATTTTCCCAAGGATGAACCCAGATGGTCTGTCCAAGTCTCCACCACCAGAAAATACAATGCAACGTATTTCCTCTTTACAGTGACCTGTGTGGGAATCTCCGCGGGGCTTATCCACAGGGTCTGAACAGCTGGCCCTTGGGTCATACATATACTTAAGTTGACCAAGTGCTGCCATGTTGCTTTCAGAATGATCTCAGAACATAGCAAGAGGTGCTTTGGGTCCCCACCCAAGTCCTCATATCCTTAATATTTTCAGTGCTTAGTGCCCTCATAGATCAAAATCTGGTCTTGAGTGAAGGAATGAGAGGAATGACGATGGGAAATGGCATCCTAATATTTACAAAGATGCATCAGACTTGCTTTGGACCACTCTAAGCTTTATGGGTGTGTGGTCGGGGTGCGGAAGGGGTGATTTAATTCTTGCAACGGTCTTTGTAGGTAAGTACTATTATTATCTCCATTGTAAAGATGAGGAAATGGAGGCTCAGAGAAGTAAAGCGACTTGTCCAGGCTCTTTCAGCTGTAACCACAGTGTTGCAAGGCTCGAGACAGCCCAATGGCCACCCCTTCCTCTGTTTTCCCATCTCAGTCTGAAAGCCTGTGTGTACCCAATGCCAGCCTGCTCCCCAGACCGACCACATGGGCTTGGGATCCTTGAACAGCATTCGTCTTAATTCTGGGGCTTAATGAAAACATAAGCCACACTCAGAACAGTATTAGTAACTCGGTTCTTCCTGAAACCAAGGAAGGCATCTTTTCTGCCCCAAAGAGGTAACATGCTGCATGGGCCTGGAGTAGTCATCAACTTGTTCTGCGGTCCCCAAGATGAGTGCATGCTTCCCACCTTGGACCCAGTTTATAATGCTAAGAAGCCAGACCACGGGACGAGGTTGCTGTCCTAATAACAGGCGGGAACACTGCGCAAGGGGGGCACCACGGTGACACCACGTGGTGCCCATCGACAGTGCTTCGTCAGGAGGCGTAATCAACATGCAGCAGGCAGACCTGGCCAGTTAGGCTTATCAGCTGACAGAGGGGGCAGGAAGCCTCTTTTCCTCCTGCTTGTTTTCCTGCCCCATGGAAGAAGTCAGTTCCCATTTTTTATCTCTGGGTTCCCACCAAGCCATCTCGATGGGGAGGGAGTTCTGACAGAAAGCAGGTTTAAGCTATCTCTCTCCCCTTGAGCGGAGGGTCAGGCCAGACTACCCTTAAGGCCGGCTTACACTTGGATGCATATACACACACACACAAATCCGATGCAAAATCCAAGAGCTTCTTGGCAAAGAGGAAAAGCCAATCTGGCCTGGCCTGACCATATCTTCATCCTCCCTCCAGACTTGAGAAATTTCCCAGTGGGCAAACTTAAGTGTCTCCCCTGCCCCACCACACTCCAGGGAAGAAAGTGGTTGGGGCCGGGGAGAACCAGCTCCAGTCCTGGCAGTTTAAAATATCAATTTCACAGCAGAAAGGCAGCCCCCATCAGTAGCACTTTAACATTTAACTGAGGCTAATTGTACACTGCAAAATAGTGTTTTTATCAACTGCATCTGTCTTTTCCCTTGCTTTCTCCTTCCAAAGAGATAAATTACCGGGGCAGATAAGGATCCAGCTTTCAGGGCGATCAAATGAACACTAGAAGTCCTCAAGATAGGAATGGTTTGTGAAACCCAGCTCCTGCCCACTCAAGTACGCCAGCTAAGAGGGTGCTCTCTGCCAAGAATGTCATGGTCACATGGGTTGTTGGCCCTTCCACACCACCCCCACAACCTTGGTACATTACATGGCGGGGTAAGGGAATTTGCTTTTAAAGTATCTTTTGCAGTCCCTTCTAATAAATCACTCAGCTGTTTCTGGTGCCTGTTGTGGTCGGTGGTGTTGATCCCTGGTGAAAGGACGGGCTGCTTTCCACCAGTCACAGCCTGAGTGTAGCGGGTGAACCACAAAAGCAGCCAAACAAGATGGCAGCCTCCAGGCCAACGAGCATGTGACGCTGCCCCCTCCAACCCCCGCCGGGATTTCGTGGTGGACTTCTGAAGCAGTCACATGGATTCCCCAGCTCATGATTCAGAACCAGTCGTGAGGGCCTGAACATTCCAGTTAGCAAATTGTATTTAATGGTGTATAACCTCAAGGCTTCTAAATGAAAGATTTACAGACATAGAAAGAGTTTGAAGAAAACCTGCCCCACCCCTGTGGGATCAGGAGAGGGTTTTTTTGGTCTCTGTATAGTACCGCCAGCCTGTGTCTAGGATAAACCTATATGAAATGTCTCGAGCGTTGGAATTCTAATACTTCCCCTTGGAGACGCTATCCTAATTGAAGTACTAGCCCCCATCAGTCAGGGCTATTATAGTGATACTTGTCCTAAATGTTCTTCTTTTTTTATTTAAGTCGTCTCCTTACTCTGAATTCCCCCCATCCCTGTGTGTAAATGCTCCCCCTCTTCCTTGCCATGTGCCCCTATAGAGATTAGTGGGCAGTTATCAAATCGTGCCCCCCCTTCACACCCCACCCCAATCACCACTTAGCCAAACTACATACACATATATTTAGCTCTTTTAATCTCTTTTTCTCATAAGGTTCTAATTTTACATTTTCCAGGGTATTTTGGATTTGGCAGGATAGCCTTCGTCTGTGAAGAGTAGAACTTAATTATCAAAAGCTGAACCAGAGTGAGCAATCAATCACCGGGTGACACAAACTTGCCTGTGCTCATTTGAAAAACATTTTTTTGTGGCTCTTGGAAGGGGGTGGGGGGAATAAAAGCTGTCAGAGCCAAAAAAAAAAAGGAAAACAAAATCCATCCTGGCATTGATCATCCCACAACACAACCACATAACATATCAGAATATCACCATTTAGGGGATTAAGAATTGCAAAAGTTCATTTGGCTTCTCTCTTGCTTTGCTTTTCTTCTTCTTTTTATTTTGTTTGAAACTGGATCTAAAATGTCTCCTAGCATGTGAAAGTTAGTCATGTAAAATGCCTCCTACAGTAAACATCGTATTTTTTGACAAGGTTTGCATTATAATTAAGGCCTGTCTGAGTAGTCACCCAACTGTCTTGTTCCACTGTTTTCCTTAAGAGGCAAGGTTTTTTAACAGCCAGATAAGTGCTCTCTGTGGCCCAGCCCAGTGGCACAGCGACACCCAGTGGCCATGTAAGGTCATGGCCCCACGGTGGGGCCACATAGGGCTTGACTCCAGGAAAGCCAGCCCCTGGAGTTTCGCCGGGTGAATTTTGGCATTATCTTGCCGTCTAAGTGCTGATGAGATTTACCAAAAAGGACCCAGTTTTGAGGCGGGGTGTGTGTGTGTGTGTGGGAGGGGGTTCCCAGTGTGAATTTAAATGAGATGCAGCAGGGGAGGGCCTGGTAACAGCTGGCTCTTATTGACCATGAGGCAATTCTGAATTGTCTACATCTCACCAAGACCAGTGACAGCTTTCAGTCACCCAGGTTTCCCAAAACCTTTGGACAGTAGGTTCAAATATTTCATCTTTTGTCATTGACTTATGGTCCAGCCACGCTTTTAAACAGTCGACTGATGTAATAAACATTTTCATAGTAAATACAACCAGCAGATCCTTCCCCCATAATTGGTCAGTCCAGCACCACTTTTAGCCACTATCCCTGACTTACACGCAGCGAGATAAAGTGACTAGCTTCCTCCTGCAGGGGGCGCTGTGATTGCTTACATCAATGGATGCAGCTTCAGGTAATGTTTTTCT